TGGATGGAAAAATATATGGTCACTTTACTCATAAATCATATAACTGCAGGTTGATTAAATTACAAGCACCCTGAGGGCAGAGAGCACATCTAGATTTCTGTTCTGTATTAGTATATAATATAGTTTCTGGCACATTGGATTAGCCTATTAAGTAATTATTGAATGAATGGTTGGATGAACCAAAAAGGAACATATGTCATTTTTAGTGCAATTGAAGACTTCAGGTGCTTCTATCACCCTGATGATACATGGATTATCTATCATATTAAGAAAAGATGCAAATTTTAAAAAAGAATTCAGGATAGCATTTAAAATGATTATTGACATTACTTTCTTTTATCTCTTTAATTACTTAACTTTTATCAAAGAAAAAAATCCATGACATTTAAAGTTTTATGTTATAAAACAACAGTCCTCTATCCCAAATATACCTGCTATATAGCCCTACTTTTTGAAGGCACATATATCAAATCCATTTCTTCTATTATCTTCATTTTGTTTAAATGACATGCCTTCCTACTGAGATAGTTGAGTTAGCTCTTTCATTTCACTTACCTAAAATTGCCTTCTCTCTCAACTTAGTACATCACAAATTAAAAATAGTAGTCAATATTTACATTTTCTCTAACTTTGTAAATATTACAGTGATTGACTAGGTCTTCTCCTTTATAATCCTTGTTTTCTTGGAGTTGTCAGTTGCTACCTTTCCCTGCCCTACTTTTTCATACACTTATTTTAATGTTTTCTACATCCTTCAACATCTTTGTTATTATGTATCAGTAATATCTCCTATGTGCTCACACATATTAGCTTTATTTTTTTCTTATTATCCTCTATTAATCTTTGTTATTAACAAGAATCGAACCAGTCTTCATTTTGGTAAGTGCTTTTCAAAATTCACATACTAGATTTGAACTGAATGAAAGAATGCTTTATTTTCAATACGTGTCAGTTATAAAGACACATTAGACAGTAAAAGTCATAGCCACTCTTTTGAAGGAATATACTGACCAATACAATTATGAATTTAATGTAGGATACAACGTATTTAGAACTAGAAAAAAGTGATTCTATGATTTGTTTTAATAATCCTTGATCACGAGTTTCTATTTGGATGATAGCAGATAACATTACTTCAGACTGTCTGCTCATATTTTGCTGGACTTCAAAACAATACAAGAATAAAACCAACTTTTTGAAGGCATCACAGAGTTCCAAAGCAGAAAAAAGAAATTTTGAGACTAAGCTCCCAGAAAATAGGGATGTTCAGAGAGTAAGCTTGACATTTTGTGTTGATTTTATCTTCAAAACATTTCCAAAAGTGGCCGCTGAGTGGCTGAGATGCTAAGCAAAGTCTGTCACAGACTTGGAGCAAAACACCTCAGACTTTCGGTTAGAATTCTAAATGGTTAGAACCTAGGACTGACTGAGAACTGTGAAAGTAGGGCAGCCTTCCTCATTTCTGAATCATATAACTCTAAATCATCTCAGAATTGATTGGATTAAGGTGATCTGGGATTGCAAGTGACTCCAATCTAGCTGACTGCTGGAAACAAATGTAAATTCTCTGTTAGAAGATAATATGATGTAGAACTGTTAACCTTCTCAATTTTTTTTAATTCAGTGTCTAGAGCTCAAATTAGTCACACCAGAAAATAAGATGTGTCTGAAAATTAAGAGGAAAAAAATGGACAAAAGAAATACTCTTACAGGGAAACCAGAATATTGAATTGTCTGCCATAATAACTATAGTTAAGGAATTAAAAGCAAGATTGAGAATTTGACAGAAATCTAAAAACTATAAAGAAAAGCAAAGGGGCAACCCTTTTGGGTCCCCTCCCACTGTGGAAGCTTTTCTGTTCTCTTAATAAATCCTGCTTTCTAAAAAACAAAAAAAGAAAAGAAAAACAAAGTGGGAAATTTAGACTAGAAAAATATAATAGATGAAATTAAGAAATCAGTGGAAAAATTTAACAGCATATTAGACACAACTGACAATTGATCTGGAGAATATTTTCAGACTAAAACTATGAAACAATGGTAGGACCATATAAGAGATAACTTTGGGCATGTTAAACAGTACTAAAATAGTGTGTTTGTAATTCCAGAGGGAGAGTAAAAGGGAATAGGGCAAAAGCATATTTGAGGAGATGATGACTAAGAATATTCCAAACACTAAGGAGATCAAGCAATAGATTCAGAAAACAATAAGAATCAAGTAGTGTAAACAAGGAATTCTGAGGCATGTCACAATATGACAGAAAAATAAAAAAATAAAATCATAGACAAAGAAAAATTCTAAAATTGCAAGGTGAGAAAAGATACATCACCTTTATAAAATAGCAAAAATAAGATTAATAGCTGATTTCTTAATAGAAATGATATCATTAAAGTGCTGGAAAAAATAACTGGCCAACTTGAATTCTATACCTAGCAAAAATCTTCAAATGTGAAGAAAAATAATTTTCAGTCAAATGGATGCTAAATAATTTTCCCCCAGCAGACCCACACCCAAGGAAATTCTAAGTGTTTAGGATCAAGGAAAAATGCTTTCCAACAGATGCTTAGGATATATAAGTGGGACTGGGATTCTCCTAACTTGTCAATATTTGATTTCTTCTTTAAATTCCTCGAAGTAATACTCCTTATTTTATCTCCCTTATTTACAGTAACCCCTCCTTATGCGTAGTTTTGCTTTCTGTGGTTTTGCTTACCTGTGATCAACTGTGATCTGAGAGAGGAGGAGAAGGAGAAAGAGATAGAGTGACCACTTTTACATAACTTTTATGACAGTATGTTGTTACAGTTCTACTTTATTATTAGTTATTGTTGTTAATCTTATATTGTGTCTAATTTAGAAATTGAAAGTTATCAGAGGTATGTATATATTGGAAAAGTCATAATATACATAATACTATCCATGGTTTCAGGCATCCATGGGGAGGTCTTAGAATGTATCTCCCTTGGATAAAGGAGGACTACTCTGTATCTCTTTACTTTGGTGCTTAGTGCCGTGATTCTTTATCTACCACTCTTACAGAAAAGGTGACTTCCCCATTGCCAGATCCAAAAGTTATCTTCTTGCTCTTATTTTATTGTAATATGGCAGCCTTTTATGAAAGTGCTAATCTTGTCCTTCTTGAAATTTGCTAGTGATTCTTTAGTGTATTTCACACCCTTTTGTGGTACTTTACATCTTAGGAGAGGCTCACGACACTGATATTTTTTCAATCTCCACATATTATTCTGATGCACAGCAGTATTTGAAACCCTTGCTTTCTTTGTTTCTTTTTCTTCTCTGATTCCCTTTTTATTCCATTCTCTTTCTTAGAATGCTTTCTTCTCTGACGTTAAAATGGTTAAAATTTTCTCCCAATGTCCACTCTCATTGATTTAACCTGTAGTCAAGATTGTAATCCCTGCAAGGGCAGGGACTGGATATATCCTATGCTCTACTGCCTGTCTTCCTAGTGTCTGGCATGTAGTGGGTGCTTCATAAAGTAACCTCCCAAGTAGCTGGAACTACTGGTACATGCCACCATGCTTGGCTGATTTTTTTTTTTTTCTTTTTTGTAGAAACTGAGTCTATGTTACCCAGGCTGGTCTCAACCTCCTGGGCTTCAAGTGATCCTCCCACTTCTGCCTTCCAAAGTGCTGGGATCACAGACATGAGCCACTGTGCCAGCCCAGGTTTTCGGTTTTACTTTTCATATTTAGGCCTTTAATTCATTATATATTGACTCTATTTCTCTGTGTGGTGAGCCAACTTTCCCAATACCCTACTATTGGTCAAAACTATTTTCTCATTGATTTATGGTACTGCCTTTATTTTCTGTCAAGGTTGACTAACTCATCTTTTCTAAGATTTAATATATTATCACTTTCCTGTGTAGTAATTTTCAAACTTTGTAAACTGTGACTCAAAAAAGAATGCATTTTACATTATAAAACATTTTATACATTCACATGTATATAAGCTATTTACAGTAAAAATTTTACAAAAAGTACTCTGAATTTACTGAGTATGAAATATTATGATATTTTTCATTGTGTTTTATCTCATTTTAAACAAATGTTCAGCATGATGGCATTAGTCATTATGTCAGTCCAGTTAATGGGTTTGCTAACTATAGTTTAAAAAATATACTCCAGGAAGCCTTTTTTGGGCATTCTTTATTTGCTTCCATTATACTCTTGCATGAGCATTATTACTGTATCCTGAAGTCACATTTCTGTTGTTATAATTTTATATCTGTCTCCTTTCTAAGGTGTGTGGTTCTTTGAGCATAAAGATTATATGTAACTTATTTGTGTCTCTGTCACCCAGGATCTGAACGAATAAGTATATTTATTCTCTATTTTTATTAAGAATTAATAATACTTCTAGATAATTCATAGTAAATATGGCATAGTAAGTTTTAGATTTTTCATTTGCATACATATTTGGGGGAAATTGCTTGTTGAGCACATAGTAAATATAAAGAAAGAGATTTTAATAGTATATAGTATTTTAAAAAGTTATCCATGTATAATTTTGTGCTTTGCAGTAGAATGAGTACCAAGTATCAAAAGTGGTATGTCAAAATGTAAGCAATTTGGCCAGGCTCAGTGGCTTATGCCTGTAATCCCAGCACTTTGGGAAGCTGAGGTGAAAGGATTACTTGAGCCTGGGCAACTTGATGAGACCTTATCTCTACAGTAAATTTAAAAAAAAAATAGCTGGTCGTGTTGGCATGCTCTTATAGTCCCAGCTTCAAAGGCTGAGGTGGAAGGATCGCCAGAGCCCAGCAGGTTGAGATTGTGGTAGCTGTGATCATGCTGTTGCCTAGCCTGGCGACAGAGTGACGCCCCGACTCACACACACAAAAAATAAATTTGACTTTTTGTGCTAGTTGTAGCAATGTGCATAAGTGGTATAGTTGTCAAAAATAAGTCTCTCAGACCAGTTGTTTTTTACAATTCTATCCCTTCAGTTATCTTAAATTGTTGTTCTTTTTCAGTCATTATTCAATCTTTTGGAATTTAGAAGATTAGTTTTGAATTACAAGCCTCCAGCAAATGCTCAAGATTTACCCCGAAACCAAAAGGTAAAATTATAAAAGATTTTTAAGTAAAATATATATGTTCTTTATAGTATATGTGATTGGATTTACTTGCTTCGTCAGATCTAAAATGATCAGAATTTGAATGTCAGCTCATTAATCTCAGTTGCTACTGTTACTTTCTATCCTTTATCAATATATTATAAATATGAATTTTACTTCTCCTGTTTAACATAGCAATATCTCAATTTTTATGTCAGTTTAGTAATTTTTTTTGACTGTCAATTTTCTGTAAACTTTATAGGCTATAATTTATAATTCAAAGTCTTAGTTGTTTTTAGACAGAATGTGTGGAAGTCAAAATTTCTTTTCAATTGATTGTCTAATGCAGCCTTTAAAAACTTAGTTTTGCACTGGTGTCTGTGGTACAAATCTATACCTTCTGTTTTGGAAGTTAATATTGTTAGATAGCCAATAAAAAGGGACAGCGAACACGGACACAAGTTACTCGATCTCCTTCTGTTTTGTTTCCTTGTCTGTAAAGTGTAAATAATAATAGTAATTATTTTATAGACTTCTGTGAGCATTAAATGAGGCAAGGCATGTAAAAAGGGCTTAAAAGTACTTGTTATACATAGCAAGTACGTAGTAAGTGCTTGGTGTCAGGTATTGTTTGTTATACAGTTAAAAAAATTTTTTTTTAAATTGGACTTTAAAAAACAGAACTGATTTGCATGAAGAAATCTATACCTAATGGGAAAAAAGCAATGATGGAGATGATATGGTTGAATGTAGGGCTTTAGTGATCTTATCATAAAACATCTGTAGTCCTAAAGTGGACTGGTTGTAAAGAAAAGAAATTAAAGTTATAGGTTTCAGTAAAGTGTTGAACTTTTAGTGGCCTATTGGTAGTTGTAATGATAAATTATTAAATTATGTTTTCCTTTTAGTGTTTAATTTTTAAAACCACTTTTCCGCCAACACATGAAAAATTTATGACGCATGCTTGTGGGAACGTGACTTGATTTATAACCAACTTTTTAGCTTATAGTCTCTGGACTGTAAAATGTTAGACCAGTAGACAACCCATTTTCAAAAGGGAACCAGGGTTCCCTGACAAAGTCTCAGTACCACCAGAGAAATTAAGCGAAACCCACTCCATAATTACAGTTTTGCATGGAACTTTTTGAACTATTATATTCTTTTATTGCAGTTTGTTACTATTAACAGTTCTTTCTTTCATGTCTCAGTTAAAGTTTATGTGTAATTTGCATGACATTATTTAGAATTATTATTTTAATTAGGAAGATATGTATGTATATGTGTCTTGACCATTTATGATTTTGGATTTTAGTGTTTTACAGAGCTTTAATATCTTTTATTCTTCATAATGTTAAACAAAACCACGTTAGTTTCATAATCTTATTTTAAAAAGCCATTGAATTTATGCTTTGCTTGTATACCAGACTAGTTTTGAGGTAACCTTGAGAATGCTTAGTGAATACTAGAGACGTGTAATTCCAGTCTTCAGAACCTTTCTAGAGAAGTTTGTTTCTTGCAGTGAAAGGGTCAGCATCTCCAAATGTCCGTTTAGCTTAAGGAGTTAAAAGAATATCTCACTTCCATCCTGAGAAAGACATTTACTTAGAAGAATACTGTGCAGTTTTATATAAGATTGTTGCATAAATGAAGTTATTCTTTAATTTGTTCGGGTAGTAGCAGTACACACTATATCTTGACACCTTTCAAGCAAGCACATGGGATTTCTAAGTAGTTATCAGCCACTGTTTGGTGCTATATTCACTTGAGGTGTTGAGAGATGCAGGATGTTAAAAAGGTGTCAGTGAAGTTCTGTCCCTCATGTAATAATGAATTTGCATCCAACTCATGAAATGTTTACTGCTACGTTGAGTTTGAAACTAATGTGTTATGATAGAGAATGCATTTGGGATCACATTGATCATATCACAGAGATACCATTTGCATGCACTGCTAAGCAAGATTTTTATTTTTACTTATTAGCAATACAATTTAGTTAATTTTTATTTTGATATAATTATAGTTTTCATTTGAAGCTTCAGTATATTATAGAGGTATCTGTGTAGCGATTACCCAGTTTTCCTCAGTGGTAACATCTTACGAAACTATAGGACAATATTACAACCAAGATATTGACATCGATGCTACAATATTACAGAGCATTTCTGTCCCTCCTAATATCCCTGAACTTGCCCTTTTATAGCCACAACCACTTCTCTCCTCTATTTCCTTTTTTACCCCTAAGCAGGATATTTTTTGTTAGCAATTTTTTTGCCACAAATATTACATACATATTGAGAGAAAGAGTGCTTTCATCAACCATTAAAAACTGAATACTTTGTGTGGCAAAAAGTTATGGAAAACATATAGAAATTCTTGTCTTTGAGAATTGTACCATCTTACTCAGAAACAAAATGAAAGTTTTAAAGAAATGCTAAGAGGATGAAATATTAGTCTCATATTAGGTTCTGGTCTAATTGGTTATTAAATGTGATTATTAAACAATTAAATTCAAAAATAATTGCAATTTAATCCAATATATTTGGTAATTATTAAAATAGTTATGGAATAAATAGGTATAAAGTGATTTTATAAATAATTTTTATAAATAAAAATAACAAAATAAGTATTACTAAATTTAAAAATAACTAGGTGAGTTTCTAATATTAATCTAATAATTAGGATTATTACACCACAGTGGCAGTTGGTGGGCGATTCATTGCTCAGTGAAAGGCATTTATTTCAGTAGATGTGGAATTTGAAGGGATCATTGACTTGGAAGGGTCTGGAAAGGCTTCATGGAGAAGAGATTTTTGTTTAATGGGCTTATTGGGATAAAGCATTTAGAACAGTGCCTGGCATGTAGAGAATACTCATTGAATATTGCTTGTTATGTTGCACTCATCAGCAATAACAGCTGGGCCTTGCTGAATGGGAAAGATTAGAATAAACAGTCTTGAATGAGGAGGATATTCTTGGCTGAGTAATGACATGATTTGCTATGAGCCTGTGGTATTTATGCTGAAATTGTGAGTCCAGCCTACGTCCTCTGCTGTTTTTGTGCATGACTTAAGTCTCTAAGATGGCACCAATACTCTTCTTTCTTTATGGTATAAAAAGCTGGATTAATCCATAGTCAGTTAAATTTTTATTACTTTTAAGCCGAATATCTGTTTATCAATAAAGATTTTGTCAGTCTTCACATAAGGATTTTATTTTTGTTTTTGTTTCAATAGGAACATCGGAATTTGCCTTTTATGCGTGAGCTGAGGTATCTATTTGCACTTCTTGTTGGTACCAAAAGGAAATATGTTGATCCATCACGAGCAGTTGAAATTCTTAAGGATGCTTTCAAATCAAATGACTCACAGCAGGTAGCTTTGTTGCACTTGTTGTTAACTATTTGTATTTTATTTATTCTAATGATCCTAAGGCAGCTTTCCCAAGAATGTATGACAATTTAAGATGCATTATTCAGTTTTATTAAAAATAACCTAGAGTCATCTAAAACATTATTTATTTGGTAGCCTTATTTTTAAATTAAGAAAAAAAGTAAGTGATCTTGAAAGTGTTAAAATAAATGAAGTTCAAATTTACACTATAATTGAAATTGATAAGTAAAACAACAGATAAAATTAAGAATGTTTACAAAATGTAATTAAAAATCTTCACAAATCTATGATAACACATTGTCAATATAGTATACATGCTTTTGATGTTCCTCTGATTTGTTAGCAGGGAGTAGTTTTTCTTAATTACCCAGACATTACGTTTGTTATTGTTGCTTTTGTTTTTCATTGTCTATATAGTATATTGTGGTAGCTTTTTATCCATTTACTTAAAAGAATATTGGGAATTTTCCTGTAAAAATAGAAAATACCTATATATAAATAACATTTTTACATATAATTGGAAAAGTCAGATAAATTAAAGAAGGAAAACAGAAGCAAAGAAAATAGCAGAGGATAATAGCAAGTGTTGAAAAACATGGTAGCAAAGATGTAGTGAGCAGAAGATGAAATGTTATTTTAGAAGAGGTTGCAATGTAGTTTCCTTTTCCTTTTTTCTTTTTTTTTTTTTTTTTTTTTTTAAGAAAGCAGGATTTATTGAGAGGACAGAAAAGCTCCCACAGTGGGAGGGGACCCAAGGGGGTTGCCCTCAATGTAGTTTTCATGGTACATATTTGGATGTGTTTCACTTGTGTGTATATATGGAGAGGGTGTTCAGAGGAGTGTTTTGAAAGATTGTTACTATTTTTATTTTTATTTTTTAAATTCACCTTGTATGGCAAAGATGATCTTTGAGTAGTATCTTTTTATATTTAAAGATGAAACAGCATACACTTCATTTGTAGCCATGTATGTACATAGCTGGGACTTCTCAGTTTAAATTGGAACCCAAATATAGACAGCTATCTATTAAAACTGTTTTGTGCTCCTGAATGGCACACTATAAATGTCTTTGCTTTGGGCTAGCAATGTAACCTAACTAGTTTAGTTTACTCACTGGTCTACTCATTTTTCTTTAGATGTCTTTTAAAATAGAAACAAATCAATTAAGGTCGATGCAGGTTTGGTTCTCTTCTGTTTTCCAAACACTTGAATCTGAAGTACATGTTAGTGATTTAGTGGAATAAATTTATACATGATGTGTCATAATTTTTTAAAAAATGAACTTATACTTCACATTTTATATTCTTTCTAAATATATCGAATATATCATGTTTTGAAATACGCAAGAGTCTTGGGATTTGTGGTTTGATTTTAAGCATATCTTTAATTGTTTTAGTTTACAAGTAAAATGCTGTATTATAGACATTAATTTTCTTCTTGATGAAACCAGGAAGAATTTTTATTTTATAATTGTCAATTTTAGATTGATTGCTAAAAACGACAAGGATTAACTTCTTCCATAGAGTATTGCGGTAACTAGGAAACCTTTTTGTTTTTTTTTTTTAGCTATAACTTTCAAGATAAGTTTTCAAGAAAGTCGTTTTAAGATGTTAGATCTTTGGGACACTCATAACAAATTAGCCACAAACTGGGTAGCTTAAAAGCAATGGGAAATTATTCCCGAACAGTTCTAGAGGCCAGAAAGGCCAATAATGGTGTGCCCCCTTCAACAGCTCTAGGAGAGAATCCTACCTTGCCTCTGTCATCTTCTGGTAGCTCTTGGTGTTCCTTAGCTTGTGGCAGGATAGCTCCAATATCTGTTTCCATCTACACGTGACCTTTTCCCCTGTATGTTGATGTTTCTTTTCTTTTTCTGTTTCTTATAAGAACATTCATCATTGGATTTAGGGCTAGTCCTAATCCAGGGTGATTTCATCCCAGAATCCTTGCCTTAATTATATCTACAAATACTCATATTCCAAATAAGATCACATTTTCTTTCATGTTCTGGGTGAACATATATTTTGGTGAGCCACTGTTTAACCCATTGCAGATGTTATGGTTGCTTATAACTGGATTTATGTGCTGAGTTTAGTTCTATTTAACTCTACAGCTGTGGAGCAATTTACTTAAGCTTCCTAGACTTTAGTTTCAACGTTTTTTAAAGTGAATGGTGTGGCCTACATGCTCTTCAAAAGACTTCTAACTGGATGAATATATGCTAGTAAGTTTGTAAATTTACCATTTTGATAAATAAAGGCAAATAGCTTATACTGATTCATCTCTTTGATCAGTCTTAGTAGGGTTGATTTATGTTCCTTCCCTATGTTGTATGTACATCTGTTGTCTTTATTTCAACTCACATTATTGAAGGAATTGTGATGAGTGCAGCTGCCACCACCTAGCTCTGCTTTTCTATGTTAGGGGAGAAATGACCAAAGAAAGGGATGCTGAAAGGTGATAAATATGCTGGTTCTGAGTGGAGGATCAATTTGAGGTTCAAGGGACAGTGAACTTGATAGTCAATGCTTAATTGGACTCAGCCTGTCCAAGTCAACATGTATCTTGGTTAAGGTGTATATGGCTTAACAAATTTTGTGTGTAAGTTGAATTAAGAAAATAAATTGTCAAAAAGGACTAATCTTCCTTCTAAGACAGAAGCCAGTAATAATTATTTATAAAATGAAGAACCTTTTGGTAATATGAGTTCTTTATTTTATAAAGATTTATTGCAAAGCTCTTTTGGGAGTAATATTTTTTAAAATTTCATTTATAAGCTTGAATTTTGATATATGTATATTTTATTTTCCTAAAATATAACCCAATAACAATGATTATCAATATACTTTTTTCAAATATTGATTTTATACCATAGTTAAATTATAAAAGTTTCTTGCATTTGATGTGAAACATTTTACTTGATACTTTTGTGAGGAGTTGGTAATTATTCTTATAAATGACTGGATAGGTTTTATGTTACAGCATTTAGTATTTTTATTAGTAGGCTTAAATATTAACACAACCTTTTCTTTCCACAGCAAGACGTGAGTGAGTTTACGCACAAATTATTAGATTGGTTAGAAGATGCCTTCCAAATGAAAGCAGAAGAAGAGACGTAAGTTGTCATAAAGTTTAGTGATGGGGCTTTAGGAAGTCAATAAATAGCACTAAGGTTTTTTGAAGACTTTTTACATGGAAACTGTGGGGACAGGGATTTGAAGTTCCTCCTCAGTGTTCCCTTGCTTTTTATTGTCTATCTATTTCACTTAGCTATTAAAACCTTGGTTATTTAAAATACTTGGCTGGCCTCATAGAGAAGAAATCAACACTCTTCCAGTGTAAGACTGCTTCTATCCTCATGAGGCTACACTCCTGATACCAGCCATTTGTTCCTTTGTGTAATTTCTCAAAACTCTGATGAACCATTTAGATCACCACAAAACTCTGACATGAGTCTACAAGATGCAGTAATTAACACCTAGAATACAGGTTGAAACTGAGACTTAAAATTATCTCCCTTTTTTCTATTTTTGTGGATTATAATGTTTCTATTTAAATAGAATATATTATAGAAGATAGTAATATGGACAGCCTCATTGTCCAGTGAAAGTCATTATAACACGGTCTGCAATAAGATTAAATTAAATTAAAATATATCCTAATCATAAATTGTTAACAACCCAAAGATGTTTCCAAACTTTATTAATATAGACACCCCCTACCCTTATGTTAATAGAACCTGGGGAAACATTGTTTCCAAGTGATAACCCTTTGATCATTTAAGAAGTGATACAAAAAAAAAAAAATCAGACTATTTTGCCTTTTGGGTGCAATCTAAAAAAAGAAAAATCGCATCTCCATTTTTTGTTTTGTGCCGTCTCAACCACAAGCATGTCAGTACCTGTGCTCAATAGAGTTGGAGTTCTGCAACTGCAGCCTGCACTCTCTTTCACTTATGTGTATAAGTACTTCAATGTTTCATACACACACACACACACACACACACACACACAGTCACCTGGGCTGGACCTCCTGGGCTCAGGCGATCCTTCTGCCTTAACATCTCCTGGGACTATGGGTATGTGCCACTATGCCAAGCTTTTTTTTTTTTTTTGTACAGACAAAGTCTTGCTACATGACCTAGACTGGGATCAAACAATCTGCCTGCCTTGACCTCCCAAAGTGCTGGGATTACAGGAGCCACTGTTCCTGGCCCAAATGTTGAATTTTACATGCTTTAATTTTATATTTCAGAGGATTATTAGGGCACACATGTTTAATGTTGGTATTTTACCTTTGAAATTTTGAAATGAAAGCAAAACTTTGATCTCTTACCTTCAGTCCAACTATAATATTATTTCTAAAGCTTAGTGCAATTCCTACTCAAGTTGTTAACTGAAGACTGTAGCAGAAACCTAAGGTAATAGGATAAAATGAGAAAATCATCTTGGTTATAGTTTTACCAAGATGCCAGTCATTAAAGGATCAATTGACTGTGATAGCTAACTGTGCACTTAAACTCAGTTGGGAGAAATCTCTCAAGAGATTAATTTAGCACTATGTAATATCTGAGGAAAAATATTCCATTTTTTGTACACCTTTTCTGTCATAGATTGTGGCATCTAAGAACTGCTTTTTTTGCACGTTGGGAAGTTTATGTGATGAGCGGCTCTGGAATCAGGTGCCCTTTCTTTTCTACCCATCAAAACTCCTAAGTTACTGGACATTGGCCTAGGCAAAGAATTTATGACAAAGATCCCAAAAGGAATTGGGACACAAACCAAAATAGACAAATGGAACTTAAATGAAAAAGCTTCTACCCAGCAAAAGAAATTATCAGCAGAGAGTGAACAGAAAACCTACAGAATGGGAGAAAATATTTGCAAAATCTCTCAGAGATATTTGTATACCCATGTTCATAGCAATGTTATTCACAATAGCCAGATGGTGAAAGCAGCCCCAATGCCCATTGATAGATTAATGGATAAACTAAATGTGGTATATAGATGCAATAGAATATTATTCAGTCTTTTAGAAGGACAGAAATTCTGACACACGCTAAAACATGGATGAACCTTAAAGACATTATGCTAAGTGAAATAAGCCAGTCATGGAAGAACAGGTACTGTAGGTCACTTATGAAGTCTCAAGTTGTCAAACTTGTAGACACAAAGAATAGGATGGTGATTGCTAGGGGCTGGGGCGAGGGGGAGATGGGGAGTTGTTTAATGAATATCAAGTTTCAGTTTTGTATGAGTAAGGGAGATTGGTTGCACAACTGTGAGAATATGCTGAAGACGACTGAACCGTACACTTAAAATGGTTAAAGTGGTAAATTTTATGTTATGTGCTTATATCACAATTAAATACAAAAAATAAATTTTAAGACGTGAGTGGAAAAGTATATCTTACCATGTACCTGAAAGTGAAGGACCAGGAATTTTTTTGAATAGCACTAAAGACTATTACACCTTCTACAGTGATTGTTGTAAGGATAAATTGAAGTACTTACCATCATTATTTTAAGGATTAAATGATGACCCATGTAACACAGGAATGAAGAGGTAAATAGTGTTTGAAACAGCATTTCACAAATGTATTTTCTTAATATAAACACAAAGTTGATGAAGAAAAATTCTGTATACAATAGTGGCTGCAACACACTTTTGCAGTAAGACCAAGATAAACTTTGTCTTTTTAGGCTGCATAATACAAACCATAAAACGACAATTAAAAATTGTCAACTTATTTTTGCTTCAAGCAAAAATGAAAAAAAATATATGTTAGATATTTGGAAAATTCATGATCACTTAATTCTACTAGCAACATAAAACTTCAGAAATGGATGGAGTAGCTCCTTAGCTACTCTGTGTCAAAACTGGTATTTTGTTCCTTCCATGGTGACAGCTACTGTTTTGGATTGTATGCACTCTTAAGTAAATGCAGAAAATAACTTATAAAAATTTTGTAGAAATCTAGTCTATGAAAGTGGCTTTTCTTCCTTTCTAACAAGTCCAAATAAACATGTGTTGTACAGACTAAAAGTATAAGATGGAGGTAGATGTCTAATGATTATATAAAGAGCGGCAGGGCTCGGTGGCTCAGCCTGTAATCCCGTGCCTTTGGGAGGCTGAGGTGAGTGGATTGCCTGAGCCCGCGGGTTCGAGACCCGCCTGGGCAACGAGACCTCATCTCTACAATAAATCAAAAAAATCAGCCAGGCATGGTAGCACATGCCTGTAATTCCGGCTACTTGGAAGGCTGAGGTGGAAGGATCGCAGGAGCCCAGCAGGTCGAGGCTGCGGTGGCCGGGAGCGGCCACTGCACTCCAGTCTGGGCGACAGAGTGAGACTCCAACTCAAAAAGAAGAAAGAGCATGTACTTCATGAGCACAGATTGTGTCAGGTTTTATTCTAAGTTGGTTCCACATAGTATATAGTAAGTCAGGTTAACCCTTATAGCGATCCTGTAATTTCAATTATCATAGTTATCCTCAGTTGACAAATGAAAAAAATGGAAAAATAAGTTTAAGTTCCGTGCCCAAGGTCACATTGTAAATAGCAGCCAACTGCAAGATAGCCGCACAAATGTTCTCATCTTGTCATACATTATAATTCTTTTAATGTTTTCTCTATTTATTGATCCAAAGATTATAATCACATTTATGTTCTTTAACATGCTTTAGAGATGAAGAGAAGCCAAAGAACCCCATGGTAGAGTTGTTTTATGGAAGATTTCTAGCTGTGGGGGTGCTTGAAGGTATAGTCACACATTTACTTTTTATTGCAATTTAAGAAATATTATCCCTTAGTTCCTTTGTCTTGATAGTGACTATTTGCTGAATGGCTTTATTTTTAATTTAATTTACTCTGTCTTGTAGTTGCTCTTGCATTGCTACTGTTAACCATTTGCATATCACATAAAACCGAGTGAGTGAAAACAAAGTGTACAGAGTGTATAATCATATGCTAACTGATACCTCATTTTATCCTAATGTTCTTTCCCGTGAGAGAGCTTCAGTGATACTGTTTTACTGGAATACAGGGCTTAATGGGACAGTTGATAAATCCTTTGAAGATAATATTAGACATGAATACTGGGCTTAGTAAGTTGCCCACTTCTTCATGTTGAAAGCTGAATTTAGCAACTTAGCATAGTAAGGGTTTTATAGGCTTTTCATCGAATGTTTTTTAAATTCTGTAGATACAGTTTTCAAGAAAGGGTCACATTCTATCTTTTGAAAAATCAGTTAAGAATGATACTTCTCCATTTGTGCTAAATATGTGTTTCTTAAAATTTTGACTTAACCATTTTCTCTTTGGCCTTTCTAATGGGGAAGAAACTAGACTCATTAGATATAACTTTATATAATAATACTATTAAGTTCCAAATAATTAACTTCTGAACAGTTTTTTCTCAAGTGACCCAATGCATCAACCTTTGGAAGTCAGTTTTTCCAGATTACCTAGACTATAACAATTGAGAGATTTTTTTTTCTAGATCTTAAGTAATGGAGTCCCATGAAGTTTTGTTTGAATATAGTTTCATAATTTGGGATGCAGCAAAAGGCAGATACTAGCTCAGATGTCAGGAGTTTAGAAAGTCATTTTGTGGTGTCAGTACATTTTTATTTGCCTCATGCTAAATATTTTAGTGGAATATTTTGCATCGTACATTATGTGAGTCATCTGCCTATCATTTTGATTTTATTTGATGTGGAGCACTGTATTTGAAGCGGTGAGTTGGTCTAATCAGATTGTGACTGCGTGCTGTTTCTAATACCCTGTACAAACATTTTTGCCTGTGTTATATTGATTCCTAAAAGTGGTTGTTATTAAAATAATTAACCAGTGTTGAAATCTTTGTACTTAGTATGTTTTTTAAAGCTATTGTGTTATATATATGTGACTTTAATACATTTGTACATGAATAAGCTATGTCTTTGCTTCAGTAAGAATAATTTACAGTAAGTCCCCTACATACGAACCTTCAAGTTACCAACTTTAACCGTGCACACCTACTTTTTTATGTATTATTTCTCTCCACCAGGTGATAGCACAGCCCATTAAATACACACAATGCTATAGAGCCAATTGTGTCAGTTGGGTGCCTAGGCTAACTTTGTTAGACTTAAAACAAATTGGACTTATAAACGCACTTGGAGTACTTTCTTACCATTTTTTCATGTATCTTCTTCTTGTCATTTTAGATCTGTCCTTCTCCATTGGGGGGGATTCTTAGTTTGTTTACTAAAGAACTCCCACTGCAAAAGTTCCTCAACTGTTGAGAACTTCTAGTTCGCCTCTCCATTTTGATCCTCTCAGCCTAGTTCTGTACTTCACTTTCTTCTTTGTTCATCATTGAAGTCACTCTTATTAATACCTAAAACTCTTTGCCCCATTCTCTTCTGCACTATCACCCTGGCTCTTCTCTGACTCTCTTTAAGCAGTTAATCTTTTCTCCGCATGTCTTGAGTATCTGAATGTTGCTCAAGTCATGCAAATGGGCTAACTATAATTGGTCATGAATTTGAGTAATATTGAGCTTCACTGGTCCTGATCTTACAACCTAACTTGTTTTGTATGCTCACTGTCTTCTCTCCTATTTTCTGAAGTAACTACAGAGAGTGTCCCCCCCAAAAAATGTATACACATTTTAAGAAAGGAAAAAACACATTAAAATTGTAATACTCAATATATACTGATAGCAGAAGATGAATACAAGTCACATTTGACTTCTGCAATTACAAGAGTTGCTCAAAGTGAAAACAGTCAGCATCCAGACACTTTGGATTATGGCGAACATTTCTTAACATCTCTTAAAATGAGTGTACATTTTTTTGGCACACCCAGTATTTTTATCTTTTCTACTAATTTCAAATGTAACGTTTTTGCCTCTTCATTTTCTAAGGAAGATCTTACCTCAGATTACATAGATCTTCTGTGAAGTTAATGAAACTTAATCACAGGTTTTGCCCCAGGTCCTGAACCTAATTGTATGTTTGTAATTTTCTAGCTTTTTAAAAAACAACTTCTACAGATATATGAACCTCAGGCTTTTACATCTGTCACTACTTCCACTGTATCTTTTTTATCTGTCCCTATACATAATAATTATCTAGTTTTATATGCAAAGACTATTGATTTCATTTGCTCAGAATTCAATCCCATCATGCTGTCAGTCAGACCTTACTCCATTATCTTATTTCCTTCCTATATCTTGAGCTTCTCCCTCTCTACTTTCTTTCTCATCAATATTTAGACATTGTGTGGTATCTCACATCTTTTTTTTTTTTTTTTTGAGTTGGAGTCTCACTCTGTTGCCCAGACTGGAGTGCAGTGGCCGCTCCCGGCCACTGCAGCCTCGACCTGCTGGACTCCGGCGATCCTTCCACCTCAGCTTTCCGAGTAGCCAGAATTACAGGCTACCACGCCCAGCTGATTTTTTTATTTATTGTAGAGATGAGGTCTCGCTGCCCAGGCGGGTCTCGAATCCGCGGGCTCAGGCAATCCACTCACCTCAGCCTCCCAAAGGTGCGGGATTACAGGCTGAGCCACCGAGCCCGGCTGTATCTCACATCTTTAAAAATAAAGTTATCTCTTCCCATACTCTCAATTATTGCACTTAGTCTTATTCCTAAGCAGAATTAAGCCCCTTTGAAGAGAATTGGTTTCACCTGTTACTCCCCATTTGTTCAACCCACCACACTTTAACTTCTGGCCCCAGAAGTTATCTGAAAGCAATCTTGCTAAGGTTATTGATTTCTTACATAGGGACAAATCCATTGGATCCCCTTTAGCCTCCATATTGAATTCTTTAAACTGTTAATGCTGATGACTCTCCTTTCTTTTTCCTCTGTTTTATTATTCTTTCCTTAAAAACCTACTTCTCTGGCTTTTGTGACACCATATTCTTCTGGCTTTTTTCCTGCCTTTGTGGGTAATTCTTAGAAGTTGTATTTATAGTCTTTCCTGTTTGCATGTAAAAGTAGGAGATCCTTGGGACTTGGCTTAGGCCATTTTTTTCCCCAACTCATCCTCTCATTCATTGCCTTGATTTCCTATTAGCAGTAAGCCAGCTATTCTCCAGCAATTTATAACTTCAGACCAGAATATTAATCTTAGTTATAGATTCATATGCAACTGTGTCTTCAAAGTGAAATCTGTGGGCAATTCTGAAACAATAATTTTCTTTGCTACCTCAAAACTAAAAGAAAAAAAATCTCTACTCTTCAGTGGTGCCAGTGTCAGTACATAAAAATCTGTTTTTTTATGCTAGAAATTTGAATGTCATTTTTTTTCTGTTTTTATTTTAGATTTGGGAGTACTTGTGTATGTTTGTTAAATGGACATACTGTATAGTGGTGGGGACTGGCTGTCAGGTGGTCCATTCCCCAGATAATGAACATTGTATACAGTAGGTACTTTCTGAACCCTAACCCTCTTTCCTGCCTCCTCCCTCATTGGTGCCCCCAGGGTCCGTTATTTTCATCCTTGTGGCCATTTAACTCCCTCATATAAGTGAGAACTACATGTGTTTGGTTTTCTGTGTCTGAGTCTGTTCGCTTAAGATGATGATCTCTAGCTTGATCCATGCTGCAAAGGACATGATTTCACTCTTTTTTGTGACCACGTAGTATTCCATGGTATGTCTGTGTATGTGTGTGTATTCACACACACGTGTGTGTATATATATATATATATATATATATATATATATATTATATATATATGTAAGAGTAATTTTTTGTGGTTTTTGTATTGTTGATATTTGCCATTTAATATTAGAATATGTTTTTAAATAAATGTGGTCATGTTAAACATCATTTTAATGTGCATTTCTTGCTTTATGAGTTTTTTTTTGCTAATGACTTAATTACTTGCTGTTTATTTTATATGTATTTTAGACTATGGAAGTGATGTTAGACAGAAAGCAAATTTGAGCGATTTTCTTATTTGAGTTCAAAATGGTTGTTAAAGCAGCAGAGACAACTCGCAACATTAACAACACATTTGACCCAGGGACTGCTAACAAATGTACAGTGCAGTGGTAGATCAAGAAGTTTTGCAAAGGAGATGAAAGCCTTAAAGATGAGGAATATGCATAGTGGCCATTGAAAGTTGACAAGGACCAGTTGAGAGCAATCATTGAAGCTGATCTTCTTACAACTGCACAAGAAGCTGCAGAAGAACTCAACGTTGACCATTCTGCAGTCTTTTGGCATTGAAGCAAATCGGAAAAGTAAAAAAGCCTGATTAGTGAATGCCTCATGAGCTGACCAAAAGTCAAACAGATTATCATTTCAAAGTGTCTTCTTTTGGTCTATGCAACCATAATGAGCCATTTCTTGATCGGATTGTGACGTGTGACAAAAAGTGTATTATATATGGCAACCAGTGATGACCAACTCAGGGGCTGGACAAAAAAGAAGCTCCAAAGCACTTCCCAAAGCCAAACTTGCACCAAAAAAAGGTCATAGTTACAGTTTGGTGGTCTGCTGCTGATGTGATTCACTACAGCTTTCTGAAACCATTACATCTGAGAAGTATGCTCAGCAAATCCATGATATACACCGAAAACTGTAATGCCTGCAGCCAGCATTGGTCAACATGTCTTTTCCGTGACAACACTCTACCGCACATTTCACAATTAATGCTTCAAACGTTGAACAAAATGGGTGATGAAGTTTTGCCTTATCTTTTTTCACTTGATCTCTCGCTGACCATCACTTCTTCAAGCATCTCGACAAATTTTGCAGT